TCCCTGCTTTCAGTGGGGCACATTTGACCCCTTTTGTTCTCACACTGCTGTTTTTGAAGCTCCAAAGTGAGGTGGAAATATTAGAGTAGGTATTATTTACCTTATTGTTTCACAAATTCAGTGTAATTGTGAATGTGCCAATTATGATCTACTCCTAATATATTTTGTGTTAATCACGATTATGAGTTTACATGCAAAGTTGTCTTGTTTGGATGAATTCAGGCTCCTCCCTTTCCATTTTGTTTTTATCAACAGCAATTGTTACAGGTTTCCAGATTATTATGTGAAACCTCACATTTTCCTGTGCTGAGTTCACAATTATGGAAGACCTGCAGACCCCAATTATCACAATGGGTCAAGGGACATGCTAGGGAATAAGAAATGACGCTTAGAGTAAACACTGCAAGATGTGGTCCTCCTTTGCTGGATCTCCTTTTACCCCTTAAGTACCACGCGTATTTTCTGTCTTGAGGCACAAGAATTCTATAAATAATATTAAGTGTCCATTAGCCACAATTGCAACATCACAGTGGAAAAGTCTGATAATAGGAGAAGCTTCTGAAGATACCAGAGAAGAGATGCTTAGAATGAAGGAAGTGTTTTCCTAAAATTTGTCAGAATGTTTGATTTTGAAGTAGCAGATAACATTTTCATGAAGAATTTAATTTGTCATAATCTTTCTCTAGTTTTTATCCTGCTCTGTGTGCAGTTTTCTGACTCACGCTATGACTTAATTTCTCGTTCTGTACCCTGCTCACTGCCATAATGTGTGAGCATTCAGATGTTTTCACTCAATCACTTTAATTAAAGCAGGAGTCCTTACCCTGAAATGTGGACAATGAGTAACACACAGCCAGCTATGCTTGTTAGGCTCAGAAGGTTTTTTTTAATTATATATGTGCCTACTGGTATTCAATGCAATCTCATTTTAGCATTTAAGCAAGCGATCAGCTTAAGTGAGTTCAAACAGATCTTAAGCATATGCTCAGTATTAGGAGAGAACTTAAATGCCCTGCTGAATGGGAACATGAATCAGCTTCTGATTTACTGACAAAATTGCTATCTAGAGAAAATGTCCTTCCTTCCTAGACTCTTATTAGATGAGTTGGAGATAATAGCCCTTTCCCACTGGTGCCAAAATCAGCACAAGATCTGTCTTCATGTCGTAAGCAAAGGCTTAGTGCAGCAAGCTGGCACAAACTATTTTGCTTTCTTTAGGTTATTCTTAGCCTATCCCTCTCCCATTAATAACGAATGAACATGAATTTTTTTGCAATGTTAATTTTCAAGAGGCTTTTTAGTTGTGAACTGGGATGACATTTTTTTCTCAATAATGTATTACACAGTATTTATCCAAATTTTTACTGCTCAAACCCCAGAGGTGAATTGGAAAGATTGAAACTCTAAACTTGATTGGTGTCACAGAAATAATCCCTAACATGGTGTTTATAGCTTTCCTAATGTTCTCAACGCTATCTCCTGAAATGTCTCCCAATCCTTGGCACTGTCATCTCAAGCAAACTTTAAAACCAAACCAAAACAAAAAACCAAAACAAAAAAAAAAAGTGTCAGTTCAGCTGTGATAGGAGGCAGTGAACTGCTACCCTGTGGTCTTAGTCTGGCTGTAGGGCAGCTGATGGAGTCCTACCAGTGGTTTCCTGGAAGTAGGTTTGCCCTGGTTTGCTCTTGAGTCATGAGAAGGTGTAGAGAGAGGTCTGAAAGGTGCATTAGCCCAGATGAAGCACCACACAAAGGTTTGGCCCTGGCTGTTTGCCCAGAGATAAAAATGTCCACTTGGTGTAAAGAGTTTCTCCCTGACTTGGCTGAGTGGACCAAAACCATTCCAGGAGCTCAGTGACATTTGACAAAGCGAATGAGTAGAATCAGACCTGAAACAGGTTTTGAAATAAGAATAAATTCATGCATAAATGCAGTGTGGTATTGGTTATAAATGGAAATAAGATGATAGCAAAGAGTTTGTTTTTAACTACTATTTAGATTTTTCCAAAGTGTAGGGCACTATAAAAAACAAGGGCTGGTAAAAATGCAGGTAAAGGTGAAATGTTACAATATTCAGTATTCTCTGAGAATCGATAGAATACTAGAGAGAAACAGTGTGATAGAATAAGTTTTTTCTTATCTGAAATATTAGTTTATAATGTTAGCTAAATTAAGCATTTATTATTAATAAATGTTCTCATCTTACTGTGTTATTTAATTTTTTTTATTTTTCATAATTTGCTATGGGGTGCCCTCAATTTGAGTGGCAACAGTGGAAGGTTTATGCTCTGTAGTCTGCTGGCTGTTCTGCCAGCAAAGTAAACAGCACTTTAGATAAGATTTGGGCTTGCAGCTTTGCTTAATGAGAACATCATCTTTCAGGGCACGGATTTGCTCATGTAACCAAATAGGCCATGCATATCCCTATTTGTTATAAAAATTAATACACAAAATAAACTCTATTTACATAGCTATATGGACAAGTTATATTATGTCTGTGTCCCTATCTGTGTAACTTCATTATAATATTACTCAGTAGCTCAGAGAAGAAATGACAGTGAAGCTCTGTGGCATCATGTGGGTGCTTCAGATGGAGAAGAAAATCTGACAGTCCCGGCATGTGAAGGACTCGTGTACTGTATCCCCACATGTCTTTCTACTGGTAATGCTCTCTGCTCTGCAGTAAGCTCTAGGTGATTTGGATAGCACAAAATACTTAGCTTTAAACTGAGGTTAAAATCAGTAAGGAATAGAACATAAGAATTTGTACAGTGTGATATTTGATGATAAAATTAAATCGGATGCTTTTAAGAAAAACAGCTATGCCATATTGCTGCGTGGATGCTGTTATCTACATATGTGTTCATTTTTCTTAATGCTAAAATAATGCTGAAAACATACACTGAAAATGTAGTCAAATTTATAGTCTGTTCAAGAATGTTGCTCCTTTTACTACAATCATGGTGCAAAGCAAGAGCTTCCTCACCATATTTCTCCATTTTCTCCATTAATGCAAGAATGATATTAAATGGCATTGTCTTTTTATCAGTTCAAAGAAAATAATAGAACGGTTAGAGTTAGAAGGGACCTTAAAGATTATCTAGTTCCAACCCCCTGCCCTGGGCAGGGACACCTCCCACCAGACCAGGTTGCTCAAAGCCCCATCCAGCCTGGCCTTAAAACCCCTCCAGGGACGGGGCAGCCACAACTTCTTTGGGAAACCTGTTCTAGTGCCTCACCACACTCACAGTAAAGAATTTCTTCTGAATATCTAACCTAAGTTTTCCCTCTTTCAGTTTAAAACCGTTATGCCTTGACTTATCACTACACTCCCTGATAAAGAAAAAACAAGGAAAGCAGAAGGAAAGAGTCATGAGGTCCAGCCATTGCCCCGCTATGCAGATAGGGAAGCAATTGACAGTCTCACACTGTCTTGGAGGCATTTGATAACTCATTGAGAATGTGCAGTTAAGTATCTGTCACTCTCCCCATGCTACATAATGCATAAGGTGTATTATACAAAAGTGTTCTTTATTTTACAGTAGCTATTTGTGTAAATCTAACTGTGTAGTGGCCAATAAGGCAGCGTGTTCTCCTTTCCTTTCAGGCCTATCAATAAACTTGCACATTTTCCAAGTTAGGTTTTTTTTAGTTCACATAGGTTATAGTTACACTGATAGAGGTTTTCTTTCCTAATATAAAACATTCAACCAAAAAAACATTCTTTAAAAGCATAGTGATGGAAAATGTAAAACAAGTTTTAAAATTTCCTAATTGTAAACGCCTTTGTCTTTTGAGTGCCTCACAGCAGATCGTTTCCAGGTAATTATTATGTGAAAAATGTTGGACCTTCTTGGTTCATACATATATTGAAGAGATGCAAAGCCAATATAAAAAGAGTTTTAATTGGTTTGAGATAGTAGCAGAAAATAATTTTCCTTCATTTGTAGAATAAAAAAAAAAATAAGGTATTCAGCTATTAAAATTGGGAAAGGAGTGCATATTTCAGTACTGCAGTTACTCATGTGTGAAATACAGAAAAATGTTAATTGAGGTAGGCTTGTGAAGTGAAATTAGTTGCAAGTGGACTGTAGATGAGCAAAGGGATTCTTAGGATGTTGCACCTCAGCCATACTTTGAGGTTAATTCATTAAAGATAATTGCAATGCTAAATAGTTTCCTATAAGGAATTGCTGCTACAGTGGTCTAACACTTTTAGTCTGATTGAATCAAATGCTAATTAGTAATATTCAGATTTATGTTATGCTTATTTATGTACTGGCCACCCTGATTACTTCCTTGACTGCTGGTAATCTTCTCTGTCAAGGGTGACAGCCCTTCAGTCTCCAGAAAATAAGGGCTTGAATAAGGGGAACTTCAGCAAGAGGAACTGCCTGTTCCTGTCCTTGTCTCCTTATCTCTAAAGTCTGTGTTAAAAATAGGAGCAGCTGAGCAGTCTTTCAGAGTTTCATAGCTGATTAGATCCTCATCAATAACTCTAGAGTAAATGCAAAGTATTTGGTGTGGTTCTCTGAGTGGACTTGACAACACTTATGTATCACTGCGCCAAGAACTCAATCAAATGGTCTCTTGGCATGGATGTAACATTTGGGTTTGCAGCCCAAATACCCAAATTGTGGTCTGGGTGCCTTTGGGACCTGAATGAGGCTTGCTGGACTCCAGTCAGCAAGACAGATCCATGGTTCTTGGGTGCAGGGAAAGGAGATTTGGTATTCCTGGCTCTGCCCCATCTCCCACCAGGCAGAGGCCATTTGATGTGGTTGGACACAATATCCCTGCCTTCATCCAGGAGAAAGGCAAACCAAACAATACAGGATAATATGTTCTTCACCATAAGAGCAGAATACCAATGTGAGTTGGACAGAAGTGAAAAGAAATGTTGTTTTATGTCAGAAAACCAAATAAAAATCCATAGCCTCTTACAGATTTCTGTTGCTTTCCTATATTTATTACTGTGACATAAGCGTCCTCTGCATCTATTTACTCTTTCTTGGGGTCTCAGGTTTGCATATTTCATTTGCCCAGATGGCCTGCATCACTTTGTGAAGGATGATCTCTCTGTGCTGAAAAGGTATGTGTGCCAGGTCCCATGCATGTTATGACTTATTTATTGCCTCCCTGGTGGCATGCTGTCGCCAACAGGCGTGTAATTAGAATAGCTTGGGCTGAAGACCTGTGGAAAGTCTGAGTACTTTCATAATTGGCCAGTGAGTGCTCCAGTCTTGAATCCTCTACGATTTCCACTATCGGAAGCTCAAGTTTCTTTCTTCAGTGTTGTATTTATCTTTTATTCTTGTGAAAAGAGGAAATCCTTGCATTTTGGATCTCTTCTCATTTGTATTGACTTACTTGATGACTTGTTATTAGAAACAGCCAGCTTTTGCTTTTAGAGAAACTTCCAGTCGTTTAAACAGACCAGCAGTGTCTCTTTCTTCTGGCGCTCCCATCCTGTACAGGAAAAGCAAAAGTAAAAAGTAAGAATAGGAGAAAAATGTTACCAGAAACAGCTAAGCCAACAGCATAATCTGCAAGTTCTGTGCATACTGTTATGATATCTGAAACATAATTATCAAGCTTAAGTTAATTAGACTAATGCTTAGAAAATCTGGCATGGCAGATTGTGGTAAGTAATTATATATACCGATTAAAAGATGTAATACACAGTGAGCAAAGGCAAAAAGAAAACTCCATTTGATACAGCCAGTGAACATAGACAATTAAGAAGTCAAGTAGATGAGCACTGACAAAGATACTGAACTTTGTGGAAGATGATGGGCAAGATGCCAATTTTCCAGTGGAACAGATTTTACATAGTATCAGTTAAACTTTTGTTTTATGAAAATCCATGCTACTGTTCCGTAACTGGAATATATGAAGGGCCACTTGCTTTTTGCATTAGGATTAGTTGACATGAATACCAGGGTATGTGCAAACAAGAATGTGACATTAGAGTACTAGTTTACATATATATAGAAGTTGTGTAAATGGCTTTTCTTAAAAGCAATTCACAGGATGTCATATGAGAAATAAAGCTGTGAAAATGGTGTCTTCTGCAATTAAATGTCATGTAATAAAGCTTACGGGTCAGCATGAATGAGGAGAGCTTGTGTGCCTTTGTGCAATTCAGTACAGGCTAAACCCTGGAAATGCAGACTGAGAACTTTTTTTTTCTAAACTAGTCTTCAAGCAAAATTCACAAAAAATAGAACAAAGACCTAAAGAAGAAGAGAAAAATCTAGCAGTAGACCTTCTGTGCAAGATGTTCTGGTTGCAAGGTACCTTGCTCTGACTAAATTGTGTCTAAATGAATACAATTATTTTTCAAGTCCTCCACAAAGTGTGTGTCTGTACAACCTATTCCCCAATCAACCCCCTCCTGAAGAACGAGTGGGAAACCGGCTAATTCCTAGTCTGGCAAATTGAGATGAAGCAAGCCCATGTTAGATCCATTCTCACAGCATTTAATCCATAAGTATTTGATTGAGCTTCTGGAGTAATGTACAACCTCTTCTCACCTGAGCCATGTTTTTTATTCATATCTGCTGAAAATTGCTTTCATTTCTGTTGATCTCATTGCTTCCTAATGCATGAACAGACTGATTGAACTTAAAGCAAACTAAATTACTTTTTGTCTCTGAAAACTGGGAATGTTTGGGTTTCTTTTCCCATCTTCATAGCCTTCCTACCCTCCATCCCTCCCTGTTCATTTGATCACCCCATCCATGTAGTATAGAATTTTCTGGAGCTCTGAAGCATGTTCTCTGAGACACCATGAGAGAAGGTGGTGATCCGCTGTTGGGGTATCATCACTGGAACAGAACTTGCAAAAATGTTGCAAACAAAAAAAGTTTCCGTGATTTTCCCAGATGAGTATTTCCAAAATGTCTGTGCTCAAAGGTTTAAATATTAATTCTGTCTAAAAGCAATGATACTAAAGCCTACATATTAAATAATAATTGTTATGCAAATGCTATCAATTCATGATTCCTATATAGAAACATGGGGATGTCTGGGAGGCTGTAGCATGGGCAAAGGCAACTGTTTTTTTCCTAGGCAGTTTAATAAGATTTTCAATGTATTTTCATCAAAAACACCTTCCTACTAGTAGAAGCTATCAGCCTTAATTAACTGCAAAATCTATGCAGCTAAAATTAATTCTCCCCAAATTCACAGTCCCTTCACTGAAATTAATTGCAGAATATTGTATTCCCAGGCTATTATGCCATCCCTGTTCTTCAGTGTGGGCATTATGTGGGTAAAACTGTGGTCTTGTATCCCAAAAAAAGAATTTGAACAGAAGGCCAACACTGCAGGTTGGAAGAGGAGTAAATAGATTTTTTCCTCTTTCAGGCAGCCTGTGCCCCCTGCCCTCTGAAAAAGCCCCTGTTATCCCAGTCTGAGTTTCACCAAGTAAATAAGGGCTCCTGTATTGGGCCCCTTGTCTGTGACTCTTTGTTCTCATTTGATTTAGTGTATGAGTTAAGAGGTTCATCTGCAGAAAGAAGGAGCCTGCTTGAACAGTATCAAACTGTTCATCACTTTTCCTTCTCTTCCCTCTGGGTATTTCCATTAATGCTGTGAAGGCAATGCAGCAGGGACCTCTTGCACAGCTTACACCACTTGTGCCCGTCCATTCCAAGCAGAATCTTAGACCCATGTTATTACTTTATATCATTATATGTTACCCATATTCTGCTACGGGTAAAAAACCTTTGTGAAGTTTGTACAACAGAAAAAAATAAATTAGGTAAACTTCCATGTGATGTCCCTTGAGGGAACTTGAATAAGTTTCATGGCAACATTAATTGACTGGAAAAACTGGAAGAGGTGATTGACCATCTGAAATTTCCAATTCTGCTCTCATGTCTGGGTCTAGAGCCATCTACTGCCATTATAACATCAAGAAGTGTAAGCCTCTGCTGAATTTTATAAATATTCTAGACATTGAAGATATTTTTTCCCTTTACTGCTAGTTTAAGAGATGAATTTGCAGACTCTGGGGCATTTGCCCTTGACAAAGCTTGTCTGGTTCTTATGCCACTAGGTCAGTGGAATATCAATAGATTCTTAATGCAGTCTGTCTTTTAGAGTTTCTTTCATTTCTCAGAGCAAGAGTAAATGTCATTCATATTGGCAGGTTATAATGGGAACATTGAGATACTAATTTTTAAAAATATACACAGCTGCTTTTAAATAGTCTTGGTCTCCCTCTTGTGTGTCTTCAGTGTGTCTATAGCAATTACAAGGTTAGATATCCCTCAGGATGCTGGAAAAGGTCATTTTGTTGTCTTTTCTGCCCCATGCCTCAGTGAAATATTCATGGTATGGCTCAGGTATTGGGATTGGGTTTAATGTTTCGTTGCATTGCCATCTGTTTTGTTGTTGCAGTTGTTGTTTTTTCCCTTGGTGGGGGGAGAGGGAGCATGGAGGCAGCGGTGAGGGATGCTGGCATATGGGTCTGGGTCTGATATAAAAGATGAGTACTGAATCTGCAGGAACGGAGTAACTTCTCTGATCTGAGCTGTTTTCTTGTTAACATTAAAAGTCTTCCTTGTGAAAATCTGCCATTATGCCCATAGATCATCAGTGATAGATAGTCTCTGTGTCTCCTCAAAGGCTATGAAGCTACATTAAAGTAAGCTTTTACATTATATGTAAAGTTCATTCATATAACTTAGCGCAGGCACAGAAATAAAGCTCCTCACTGAGACAAATGGCATTAATAAGTTCCAAGGACGTATTCAGTAGAGTTTTCCAGAGTATTGTGGTTGCTCAATGGCAAAGGGCAGCACAGAGAAAGGCTAAACTGCCAAGGGGTGCTCTGCTGCAGGTGCCCGAGTCCCTTGGCTGCAGCCACCCACAACCGCTCAGCCGGCGGTGGCACCACTCCTCGGCCACTGGACCTGAGGACAACCACGGTAATGCAGAGACCCAACATGGAGAACATCTCACAGGAGGGGCAGAGTGGGATTCCCTACAGTGGGTTTCTTGTAGATGAGTTTTAAGCTTTCATGTGACTTTATTTTTACTGTAATGAGAGTGTTTGGCCCATAACGTTTCACCAGGATTTTTCAAATCTTTTTTGATCATCTTGCTCTTTTTCAGCATTTCCCTCTTACTGCTGTTGATTTAAATGTCATGACATTTTAAACATGACTTATTATAACAAAACAGTATATAAAACAATATGCTGCATAATAAATGCAGCTGTATTTTTTGGAGTGAATGTTAAATGAGAGCAATTTATTTCTTGACCTATTTTAGTACCTACTTACTAGAGGGTATTGGCTGCTTAAATCCCAGGGAGGCAATCTCAGAGGTGAAGCATTCTTGAGTGTGCAAGGCTGAAAGCTAAAGTAGTATTTGAGGGATGTCTGGGGGGAAAGGCCGTCCTGGGGATGTAGCTGCATCCAGGAGTACCGTGATCTTGAGCTCTGTGAGGAAAGCAGACAGGACCATCCTGGGAAAGTCTGTTGGCAGGTGAGGGGTCCCCTGAGAAACACACACAAAAGCAGGCTTGAAACCCCAGTGGTGTGCCTCAAGCATGTGGTATGTGTCATTCTAAACATCTGAAGCATCCTTAAAATCCTCCTACAGTCAGTGGAGAGAGTGACTCAGAGTATGAGTTACTCCAGGACACATTGACTGTTTTCTTAATTTCAGTGTTGGTGGGGTGGGGATTTGTTCAATAGGAATAAGCTAATTCCCCAGAGGAGAAGAAACCTGCTCTCTGCTCTGGCCGTTCTGGGCTCTTCCTGCAGCTCTGAGATGTGATGAGGAGGGTGAAGCCCCCCCCAGGCCATGGGGACACACTCATGTCTGCCTGCACGCTGAACCAGCTCTGTACCGATGCCATGGGATCTGCAGCTGATTTCCTTTGTGCTAGTAGAAAAATACCAAGAAAACAAATAAACCAAATCAACCTCCCTAATGCATGTGTCTTACTTGGCACGTCATGAATCTTATTGAGTGTGCTCAGGGTACGGCAAATATTTGTCTAAGGTAAGAAGATTAGCAGGGGAAGTTCTGACTTTGAAACTCCCTGCGTCAGGAGCCAGAATACATCAGCCTGATACAGGCACCTCGAGGTTATCTCCGCTCTTGGAGTGGGACATGCACATCGCTCTGCAGCTCTGACCTTTTGGGAAAAGGCTTTCAGTCAAGTAATACATGCACCTGCATGAGATTTTTGAATCACTGACTCTATCCTTGATTAAAGTGCTTTTCCTTGATTAAAAATAGCCTTTTTCCAAATGAGTAATGTTGCATGGCAGGCTGTGCACACAGGATAACGTTTCCTCCAACATTATCACATTGATGACATTGCCATTTCTTACCCAGGTCTCTCCACCACACATTTTTCTTGTGTAGGCAGCCCTCTCTAGGAAACACCATTAGGAAGCTCCCCAGAATCATCTACCTTTTCTTCCCAGGTGAGGAAGACTGCA